CGGGTCCGGGTCACGACTTCGGCGGTGAGTGAGGGGCGGCGGGCCGGGCGGGTCTGGGCTGGGGGCTGGGATTCCACCCCGTGCCGCTGATCCCGCCGCCACCCCCACCCCTCCAGGGGAGCCCCAGAAGCTCCGGGTCCGCTTCCTCCGAGCCGAGGGATACCCGGTGGATCTGTACTACCTTATGGACCTGAGCTACTCCATGAAGGACGACCTGGAGCGCGTGCGCCAGCTCGGGCACGCGCTGCTGGTGCGGCTGCAGGAGGTCACCCACTCTGTGCGCATCGGTGAGCGAGCAGAGCACCTGCCGGCCCTCCGCCTCTAACCAGCCGCCGCCCTGCCTCTGCCGGTATCCTGGACGCACATGAGCCCCACCTGCCCTCTCCCGGTTTTTAATGGACTTGACCAGGCCACAGGTTCCTGGCATATCTCCCCCAAGACATCTATCTTTTAGGTCAGAGCTGGGGGGTGTTTAAGAGACTGTCCAGTAAGACCACTCATTTCACACGAAGGCCAGCTGAGGCCCAGAGTCTGGAGAGGCTATGTTCAGACAGCTCCCAGGGTCAGATAGACCTAGCCACCCGGACACTGCCCTAATGCCATTGTCTCAGGCCTGTGTCCCCTGGACAAGGTCAAAATGCCATCATCCCTGCTGCACATTCTTCTCTCATCCCTCCCCTGTTCAAGATCCCCTCTTCATCTTATGCTGCTGCTATACTGCGCACAGCCGTGCTTTCTTCCCCAGCCTTCTAGAAACCCCTACCTGCCCACCACTGGGTCCTCCTCTTTATCTCCATCCCCTACTTCCCTGAGTCAGTGGTCTCACTCCTTTGCCCCTCCTGGGTCCTGGGTCCCTGCCCTCTGGGAGCACCCTCTTTCATTACCTCTATGACTGTCCTCCCCCCCCCCACTTCCCTTGGACTCCCCTCCTGAGTCCTTGGCAGTGGCCTCCACTCCCCACATCCTGCTGCTGTCCAGTGACTTCTGGCACCGCCTTCATGCCTCCCACTTCCCAGGCTTTGGCTCCTTCGTGGACAAAACAGTGCTGCCCTTTGTGAGCACAGTGCCCTCCAAGCTTCGCCACCCCTGCCCCACCCGGCTGGAGCGCTGCCAGCCGCCCTTCAGCTTTCACCATGTGCTGTCCCTCACCGGGGATGCTAAAGCCTTCGAGCAGGAGGTGGGCCGTCAGAGTGTGTCTGGCAACCTGGACTTGCCCGAAGGCGGCTTCGATGCCATTCTGCAGGCTGCCCTCTGCCAGGTGAGGGAGCGGGGACAGGCTCTGAGTCAGAAGGGCTGCTTAGGGCCAGAATAGCCATCTGTGGTTGTGCAGTGCACAATTCTAGGGGATGCCCTTTGTATCGTAGTCCCTGTAGTCTGCATATTTATTTTGACAACTTCCTGGTACATTGGAGTAAAATGTCTTGAGGAAGAAGTGTTGTTTTTTTTTCCCCCTACTTCACAAGAAAGCCTCCATGTGTTTAGGGCAACCCTGTTTAGGGGGCTAGGGAGAAGCAGAGAGCTGGAGACAGGGGGATGGACAAACTGACTCGAACAAGGCTGGCCAAATCCTTGATTTATAGATCTGGCTGGGGTGGCTCAAGGGCCATCCAAGCCTGGATGCACAGCCTAGCCCTCCACCCAACTCCAGGAGCAGATTGGCTGGAGAAATGTGTCCCGGCTACTGGTGTTCACTTCAGATGACACATTCCACACAGCTGGGGATGGGAAGCTGGGTGGCATTTTCATGCCCAGTGATGGGCACTGCCACTTGGACAGCAATGGCCTCTATAGCCGAAGCCCGGAGTTTGTAAGTTGCCACCCTCACCCGCCAGCCCCATTGGCGCCACACCTCCTCTCCTCCCAGGACCCCACCCCCAGCCTCACTATCCTGACCAGAGACCACCCTGCCATCTTCCCCAGCAGTTCCTCCTCCCCATGTCCCCCCACTGCTCAGACAATCCCAGTTCACTCCACTCCCCAACCCTCCCTCCTCTAGCTGGTGGAACCCTGGTTCCTGCATTTCCTGGGCTGAGGGCCCCTTGCATGTTGTGAAGGGGGCTTGGGGCGCTCACCTTGTCCCCACTCCCTGCTCCAGGACTACCCCTCTGTGGGTCAGGTAGCCCAGGCCCTTTCTGCAGCAAACATCCAGCCCATCTTTGCTGTCACCAGTGCCACGCTGCCTGTCTACCAGGTGAGAGCTACCTGAATGCAACCTCCAACCCCCAACCTTTCTCAATTTCCTAAAGACACAGTCTCCTCCCCCATGTGTACCCCTCTTCTGGACCCCCAGAAGCTATTTCCCTAGAGCTGTGACCCACCAGTCCCCTCAACTCCTCACCTCGCAGGAGCTGAGTAAGCTGATTCCCAAGTCCGTGGTGGGGGAGCTGAGCGAGGACTCCAGCAATGTGGTACAGCTCATCATGGACGCTTATAATGTGAGGGGCTGGGGCTGAGGGAGAGGATTGAGGGTGGGCACTGGGGAAAGGTGGAAAGGGACCCTCAGGTGGGGTGGCAGAACTAAGGGAATGATTACTTTTTGGTGTAACACTGCACAGCTCTTTTGGCCGTCATTAACAGCTCATTTCTTCAGTCCTTCATTCATAAACCTTAAGTGCCTGATTTGTGCAGAGCATGGAGCCCTGCTCTGGGCAAGGATGGGAATGAACATTGATTGAGCTTTTATTTCATGCCAAGTACTGTCCTGAGTACACGTACTGTGTGCTGTCTCATTTATTCCACTAAAACCCCTACTTGGAAACTATTATTCCTATTTTATTAATGGGGATACCAACCCAGGAAGGCTAAGTGACTTGCTCAAGGTCACACAGATAACAGATGGAAGGGCTGGCACTTGTCCTCCAGTCAGTCTGGACATAAAGAGTGTGATATCTGGAGCCTGCTTTCACTAAGCTTATAAATAATTCAGAGATATTCTTCACAGGAGCCCTAGAATTTTACAGGTAGAAGCAACCACACAAATTTTGAAGTGTTTCTTGGGTTTAGGTCTTATTTCTGCCACTAGACTAAAGGCTTTTTGGTGACAGGGATCATGGTCTAAACTCAAGGTGAGAAAATGTGAGACAATATCAAATTTCCCAGGACAAACTTAGTTGAAAGAATCTACCCTCCTTTAGAACTTGTATGCACACAGGTTACTTGTCCTGATTTGGGTTTTGAAAAACAGCACTGGCTATTTACAGCACCTGGCCAGCCCCTGACCCCTGGCAGGCCCTCGCTGCAGCTGCATTGAGATGCAGGGTTAGAGGCCTCTGGATCCTGTGTTCTCACTCAACATTATCATGGGCCCTTCCTGCAGAAACTCCTCTGGGCCAGGCAGAATGGAAGGCGCTCCCAGGTGGGCTGAGGGCAGGGTTCTGGCAGAATCTGGAACAGCTGGAGAGGGCAGGGTTGGAGTCCTGCCTTCACTTGGTTACTTGCTCTCTTTTTCCACAGAGCCTGTCATCCACTGTGACCCTTGAACACGAACACTCTCTACTTCCTTCTGGGGTCCACATCTCCTACGAATCTCAGTGTGGCGGTCCTGAGAAGACAGAGGGTGAGGCAGGTGACCGGGGCCAGTGCAACCATGTCCGAATCAACCAGACGGTGAGAGCCAGCTGGGATAGGCAGAAGGAAGGGCGTGGGGTGGCAGTGGGAAATTGAGCAGGTAGCAGGAGACAAGGGAAGGCACAGGAAACAATGTAAAAACCATGGGTAGCTCTCCATCCATCCTTTCTGAGGAGGTTTAATGAGCAGCTTCCTCAAGCGCGTTTTTAGGAGATGAGTGTTAACATGACCCTATCCCTTAATTTACTAAGAAGTAAGGTTCTGGGTGACCAGTGGGTTTGGTGTGTGCGAACATGCCAATGATCTTCATCTGATTTCTGCCCACCCTGTCCACAGGTGAATTTTTTGGTTACTCTCCAAGCTACCCACTGCCTCCCAGAGCCCCATCTGCTGAGGTTCCGAGCCCGTGGCTTCTCAGAGGAGCTGACTGTGGAGTTGCACACACTGTGTGATTGTAATTGCACCGACACCCAGCTCCAAGCTCCTCACTGCAGTGACAGGGGGCACCTACAATGTGGGGTGTGCAGGTGAGGGCCTCCTGCTCCCCCTCACCCATGTGACTCCCCACAAATGGCCAGCCTCTGTATTCCTCCTCTCTTGCCTTTCATCCTCCCACTGGTGTCCCTAGACATCTTTTTCATAGACATCCCGAGACTCCACCCTGATTTTCACCTCCTGAAGCTTCCTAGGTATACCAAACCCTCCCTCTGCTCTCCTACTCCTTCATGCTTCATTGTACTCTGGCCTCCTTTCAGCCACTCATCTCTCTCCAACTCTCATGAAATCTTGGGTTTATAGGATTCTGGGAAAGACAGGTTAAGGGATGGTCAAGCTCTCTGACACCCCTTTCCTTCCCCACCTTCCCCTCCCAGCTGTCCCCCCGGCCGCCTGGGTCGACTCTGTGAGTGCTCTGAGGCTGAGCTGTCCTCCCCAGATCTGGAATCTGGGTGCCGGGCCCCCAATGGCACATGGCCCCTGTGCAGCGGGAGGGGACGGTGCCAGTGTGGACGCTGCACCTGCAGCGGACAGAGCTCTGGGCGTCTGTGCGAGTGTGATGATGCCAGCTGTGAGCGACATGAAGGCATCCTCTGTGGAGGTACCTGGGGACTTTGGGGAGAAGGATGGGGTTAGAGTGGCTCCCCCAAGGTATCTAGGCTCTAGAAACCTCATGGCACTAAGGGCAAGAATCAAAGATTCTAGTGTAGGGGTGGGAGGGTGTCTGGTACATGGGGGAGGGAACTGGATGCAGAGGAACAGGTTAGCCTGTGGTGGCATGTGATGTCCGCTGCGTATGGTTATCACCATGTGTATGGCTCTGCCTCAGGCTTTGGCCGCTGCCAATGTGGAGTGTGTCACTGTCATGCTAACCGCACGGGCAGAGCATGCGAATGCAGTGGGGACACGGACGGCTGTGTCAGCCCCGAGGGAGGGCTCTGCAGTGGGCATGGACGCTGCAAATGCAACCGCTGCCAGTGCTCGGACGGCTACTACGGCACCCTCTGTGATCAGTGCTCAGGCTGCAAGACGCCATGCGAGAGACACAGGTGAGTCCTCAGGCCTTGCACTTTGGGAACAGGGGCACAGCGGGGCTTGCTGAGCCACTCCCACCACCTGCTCTTTCTTTCCTGTGGTGTGGGCGACAACTGCCCAGCTGGTAACTTGTTGGCACCCGTTGGACAGGGACTGTGCAGAGTGTGGGGCTTTTGGGACTGGTCCCCTGGCAACGAATTGCAGCATGGCTTGTGCCCACGCCAACGTGACTCTGGCTCTGGCCCCTATCCTGGATGACGGCTGGTGCAAAGAGAGGACCCAAGACAACCGGCTCTTCTTCTTCTTAGCAGAGGATGAAGCTGAAGGCAGGGTCGTGTTGAGAGTGAAACCCCCAGAGAGTAAGTGGGCAGCAATGCTGTGGGTGTGCCAAATGAAGCCCTGAAGTTTGATGGGTAGGGCCTCAGAACTCTGGGGCTGCAACGTAAAGGAAGTGGGAAACCACGCAGAGGGTTGAAGCAGAGCTATGAATGCAGGCAAAATGCAGGTGCTGGACCAAATGGACAAGGTTAAGGCCGTAGGCACCCAGGATAACCTTGGACTCTGTGCAGGTCCCTTTGTTTTCAATGATAGGCAGGGCTGGGGAGGCTAGATGCCACTGGACGCCTTGTGGGCGACCGATGATCAATTCCCAGGCCCCAGCCCCCAGAAGTCTGTTGTTTCTTCCCCACAGAGGGAGCAGACCACACCCAAATCATTGTGCTGGGCTGCGTTGGGGGCATCGTGGCAGTGGGACTGGGGTTGGTCCTGGCGTATCGACTCTCAGTAGAAATCTATGACCGCCGAGAATACAGACGTTTTGAGAAGGAGCGGCAGCAGCTGAACTGGAAGCAGGTGAGGGTACTCCGCCTCCTACCCCCACTGGGCGGGGCTTTCCTTCCGTCCCGAGCTACTACGTGAGCTCAGCTTTCAGCTTCACCCTCCTGCCCTCACCCCCACCCCACCCAAGCCACGCCCCCTCACTAGGTCTGCGCCTCCTCCGCGCTCGTACCCTGGTTCCTCTGCTACTTCATCAGCTCCTGGGGGCCTGCCCAAGTTCTAGGCCGGCCTCTTAGGACTAGATAAAAGAGGAGTCCTGGAACTTTTCCTCATCATTACCAATTTCTTTCCCCAGGACAGCAATCCTCTCTACAAAAGCGCCATCACTACCACTGTCAACCCCCGCTTTCAAGAGACAGACACTTCCCCTCTGTGAAGTGAGGAGGGACGCTCACCGCGGGGCTCTTCTCTGGGATGGAGGGAACTGAAGCCGGGGGTCTATCAGGCAGCAGCCTGGTAGGGTGTTAACCCACTGCTGAACGGTCACAGCCAACTTCACTCTCAGAGTGACAACTGAGTGGGCGGCCTATGGCTACAACCTCGCTTCCCTACCTCACAAAGAACCGGGCTATCCCGCCCAGGTGTACAATAAAGTGCCTTACCTTAGAGCACAGCTGTCAGTTTGCTTTACCCCAAGGCCAAAGCAGGTTGTGAAGCCTGGGCCTCAGGAAAGCTCACATACGTCCCACATTCTGCCACCTGAGGGTAGGGAGAGGTTCTCAAACTTGAAAGTGTGTAAGTCAGTATGCACCACCTGGGAAGCACCTGCCTGGGGTGGACTAGTGAATCTCCAGGTGATGCTGACGCAGGAGAAACGCTGTCTTTGCTAGTGTCTAACCTCCTTCTGTCCTGCCATGTGTGTGTGTTTTTCTCTTATTCAGAACTGATACCGTGTTTTACTTCTACTGGTTGCTACTCTGTGGAGAGGAGGAGTTTATATGATGCTAGAAGTTGTAGGGTGGTTACAGTTGGTGGAAAAAAAGGAAAACCATTTTGGCCGCATGAAAACCTTCCCCGCAAGGATATTCTTCCCAAGAAGGAGATAGTATGTACAAAAGCCCCATTTTCTTTTTATTTAAATATCCTAAATATATCACGAAGGAACATACACTGCACTTTAATGGTAAAAAGATACAAGTTTATAACATCTTATAAAAACTACCATTTAAAAGTGATCTTGTTCATTTGATATCCCCTCCCCCAATAGCAAAATAAGTATATTAAAAAAAAAAAGAGGGTGGAGAGGAAGGGTAGGAGGGGTTGTTATGATAAAAGCCCCAGGGCCACACAGAGGCAAAGAACATCTGGGGAGAGGATTAAAAGCTGTGGCGGGACTCCGCACCTCAAGTAACCCTCCTAAGTCAAGCCATGGGGCACAATCAGTAGCTAAGTGATGACAAGAGGCTGTTGGGGGGTGGACGGAAAAGACCTGGGGTGCTGGGAAGGGCAGGGCTGGTGGGGCCCGGAACAGCAACCCACCCAGGAACTGGTGCTACTCTTTCCCAGGTCCCCATATCCCACGTCCAGGTCTCAGAGAGCCGGCCCTACCTCCCTTTCCCTTCACTCCAAACACACCTGAGGCATCTTTCCAGTGCTAGACGCCCCCACCCCGACCCCCGCACAGAAGGGGTGGGACATTGGGTCCAGAAGCCTTCGCAGCGGTCTTAGTCTGTGGTTTCCCTGGGGTGTGAGACTCCTGGGCCCCCTGGGTGCTAAATCACTCCTTTCACCTCTTTGCTCCTCTCCTTACACTTCCACGGCCCCCGATCATCTGCACCTGGACAACTGAGCTAACCATCGCTCCTGAGTTTCCCCCTCACCCACCCTCGGCAAGGGTGGTTCCAGTATGGCTCTCTGCACATACACTTAGAAATTCCCTTTCTCCCACCCACCCAGGCAGGATGCCTAGGCCTGCAGCAGGCCAGGGCACATTCTGACCTAAACACACATTCGTACATGCAGGGGCACAGATCACTCGTGTGATTCTCTCCACACATACTCCCAACCCACCCCAACCCTAAACAAATTAGCGGCAAGTGGCAGGGAGCAAAGCCTCCCATTTTCCAAAGCGCTCTTGAAAAGACAAGAGTTTTCTAAATGTATCCAGACAAAGCCCAGCCCCCAGCAGAGCCCTCTAACAGGGAGGGGGCTGGCTCACATGCAGAAAGATGCCCTACTTGCAGGGACCAAGGATATGTCCAAGGACTTGAGGTCTGGTCTCTGGACCATCAAATGGGAGTGCCAACATAAAACCAGAAGAGCACAGGCAGCACACACATTCCCAGCATCTCCCCCCAGAGGATCTCCGATGCAATGCGGTCAGGGAAGATCTAAAGGGTGCTACACCTCTTTTCTTTTTCCCTGAAATCCTCACACCCAAGAGGTATGGAGACCCCCCTGCCCTCACTCCCACCCCGTTATCACCTCTAGAGTAGGTAGCAGCTAGGAGTCTGCTGCTGCTATTCCCTACATCTTCTGGAAAATGAAATCACATCTCAGACCCCCACTGACAGCTTGGTCAGGTTTACCAACTCTCCATGATTACTCCATGATTACTCACGCCCTCTAGGTTGGGGCCGGCCACAACCTGGGGATCAACCAAACCCCAGACCCTCTCATGAGGATCCTTTCCTTAGCAGGAGAAACAAGGTTTTTATTTCACTATAGAAAATTCATAGGGGCTTAGGTTAGAAACATCCCAGCCACTGGCCTGTCGAATCAATTTAAAAAACCCCTCCAAAACAAAGCCCGCTTGTCCCCTAAACTGAGTTCTTCTGCTCCTGCTGGGACTTCAAGCACCCTTCAGGTTTGGGGGTGTGGGAAGAAGCTATTGTATGCTCATCCTCCCGAGTTGAGGGCTGGAGAAGGGTTTGGCTCAATAATATGCCATCTTCAAGCAAACAAACGTGAACACTCACATACCATACCATACCATACACACACATACCATACCATACCATATACACACACACACACACACCCCTGATCACTTTCTTGGGGGCGGATAGGGTGGTGGTGTTGGAACAGAGAGGAGCAAAGACTCTGGTTAAGAATAAAACCTATGTTAGGTTTCTTCCTCAGTTTTTTCTCTGCAGCACACCCCCACATCTGCCCCCAACAGTTCTTTGTTGGGTAGGGGCAGCCATCAAGACAGAAGCCAAGATCTTGTTCTTTGGGACCAAAGGCCAAACCCCTACCTCCTCTACCTGAATACAGTGATAGGACTTGGACAGGGAGAACAGCTCACACTGCTCAACAGTCATGTCAGGGGACACCAAATGCCTTTGCTTCTTGAACAGCTGTTACTCAGCTTGGGACTAGCCTTGGGTTGTTCCTAAGAGGGCACAAGGAGAGAACCCACTTTGACGTCCATGACTCCCTGCTCAACATCTCTGTCTAGCTTAGGAGTCATATCAGCGAGGTAGCCAAAAAACTATCTCCAAGATCAACTGCCCAGAGAGAGAAAGGAAAGGGGCTTCATGGGCCATGTACACCCAAGTTTCCTCCAAAAGGCACTTGAGCTGACCCCATTAGGTACCAGTGTGGCATGGGCCATTACAATACCCAGGGCCACAACTCCTGCTCTTCCCCAAAGGAAGTAAGAGGTACCTGTCCACTCTTCTTGGATCCAGCCCTTTGTCTGCTCCTCCCACTGTTCTTCTTTTTATCCCTACAGTGTATAAGGAGGCCAAAGTAAGCTCAGCTGCCATCCCTGATCCCAGTCTCCTTCAAACAGGAGGTGAGGTACAGGGCTGTGGAACATTGAGGATCAACTGCAACTAAAAACTCAATTTTGGGGAGGGCTGGACCAGCCATAGCTCCTGCTTTGATCAGGACTCTACACTTCCATACTACCTGTTTCCACAGTACACCTGCTGAAACTGCTTTTGGATAAACAAAAACAAGAACAGAACAAAGAAATCCCTCTCCCCAATCTTTCCCATTTCAGCTGCCAGCTGGAGTCCAAGGTTGTGGGAGCCACACTTCAGTCTTGGTCCTGTACCTTGAGTCCCCATCTATGACCTCAGGCAAGGGTCCAGGGACTAACTTCCCTACCCAGGAATGCTGGAGGAACTTCCCCGAGATACTCATAGTCTCAGATTATTTACAGAGCTGAAGCTCTAGGGCCCGCTGTCCCCTGATGCACTCTTCTGGTCTCCTGGGTCCACTCCTCCAGGAGGGGGACAGGTACAGACGGGGTGGTGGTGGGACCATCAGACCATAGGGGGTGCGCTCTTCGGTAGATTCTTCTGATCACTCCCACCACCCAGGGCCCCTTGCGCCTATAGAGAAAACTGCCCGTCGGAAGTCTTGGACTGGCAACCTTGGCACATCCGTTTGTGTCTGAGTAATCGATCTGTCCGAGAAAAACACTGAGAAGAAAGGGAGGGTTAAGTGCCTGAAAGGAGAAACTGTTACCTACTGACTAGATCTGTCTTCCTCACACAGGAGAGGTACATGTCCATCCTACATCCCCTTGGCATGGACACAGATGACATGAGTGCACAGGGGCTAAGAATGCAAGCTCTGAAGTCTGAATCCTGGCTCAAGTGCTGAGTAGCTATGCGATCTTAAGCAAGTTATCGAACAGTCCTGAATCTGTATGCTTATCTGTAAAACGGGCTAAAGTACCCACTCACAGAGTGGCTGCTTCATTCATCACACATTTATTGAGTATCTATCTCAAGACAGGTACAGTTCCTGAGGCGCAGGATGGAGTGGAGGACCAGAGGGACAAAGTCTCTGTCTCACAGAGCATTCATTCTAATGTTTTGCAGATTCAATGTACGAGCACAGAGCAAAGCATCCAGGAAGTGTTAGTTATTATCACTTCTCATCTCTTGTTCTTGTCTTGTTTTGGTCCTGGCTCTCACACTTTCACCAGATCAGATACTGACCCCCAGGGCAGAGATTGTATCTCTTCCTCCAAAGTGCACCTGCTCTGATGTTCAACTGAATCTTGTCTGCCCCTGATCTGCTGTGTCCTTGGGGAAACTTAACCTCTCTGAATCTCAATTTCCCCATGTGTGAAATGAGGACAACACAGCTACCTTATGGAGTTAATGTGAAGGTGAAATAAAATAATGTCAAACATGCTCTCACTGTGTCTGGCACAGAGTAAGTACTCAAGAAATGCTGTTATTATTATTACAGTTATTCTAATGGGCCCTCTCCATGATCAACTGCACAAGGCCAGAGACATATACGTCACCCTGAAGTACTAACTCCATCATGGTCAGAAATGCAGGGCAGCCCCTCGTCAGGCAGGGAGTGGGGCCAGGCCCTGGTTCTCAGGGAAGAAAGTTTGTGTGTGGGCGTGAGTGGATGACATGTGAGCTTACCTGATGACACCGTTCACACTGGTAGGGCTTTTCACCACTGTGCACACGCTTGTGACGCTCCAGGTGATACTTCTGGATGAAGCGCATATCACATATATCACACTCAAACGGCTTCTCACCTGGCCCAGGCGCAGAGAGAAGCTAACGTCAGGGAGTATACGTGGCAGGGATCTCATTCCAGGTATTTTCACAGAAATTTGGAACTTTTTGCAATACGCAGACACCTAACGAGGAAGGGTCCCCAAAGCTGCTGGTCTCAGTGACAA